AGATTTAGGTTGGGGTTAGCACTAGTGATGGAGATAGTCCAGTACCACAGCATCCTGCTCCATTGCTGCAGATTGGGTGGGGGTGAATGTTGAGGGAATATGCAGGAACAACCGCACAGAGCAGGAGTTCTSTATTGCCCGTGCAAAGCCTGGGAGGGCAGAACAGACTCCATAGCTCTGCTTTGCTTGGACTGTGTTTCTTGGACAAGGGTTCTAGGATAAKGGTGATGTTGGGATGATACAGTATGAGATCCCGTATGGAAGAAAACTGGCATTCCTTGGTGGGATGAATAGAACCTGAAACTGATGCTAAGGCTATTTATATTCTATTCTCTGCCAAAACAAATATCTTACACTTAGCTTAATATCATAATTGAGAGTCCAAAACCATCCCTGCTAGCTTCTAAATACAGAATAGAGTCTGGGAGGAGGCTGAGAGAAAATATATGTCTTGGCTGTATTATTGCAGCAGAGAAGTAGCCAGAATTCATCTTGAACAAAACCAAGAGACTAAAAAGAAATAGCGCTTTTAACTAATCTTTGGACATGCAAATGCTTTATGGGGCTATAAACCACACGCTCCTAACTGTGGCACAGATGGCTGCTAAACTCTAGCTAGTTTAAGCAGCTCTTTTTCCAGTCAGTAAAGTATCAATTTTTACATTTGTCTTTGGGAGACAGTTAGAAAGGTAAATAATTGGTGTTTTGCATGAGTACAAAATGGAAATTTTCAGCATGCTTCATTGCTGATGAACTCGTCCTACTCCTGGTGCTACCTTATGACTCAAAGTTGTTATAGGGCTTTACACTATGACCTTGTACATGACAAGGATAGACACTTAAAGAGTATGACTGGAAAACCTATGGGGTAACCTGCTCCCCGCCTTGGCTCTCCAAAGGCAGAGGCATTTAGCTTTCAGTATGGCTTGGTGTTGATCCTCAAATAGCAAATGAAATTATTCAGGGGAGATGCCTTTAAGTATGAATRCATTATCTCTGAAGATCTTAAGTTTAGAGTCAGTATCATTTTCAGTAAAGTGTAATTTCAGATCATGTAATTATGGTGCTTCTGTTAAGCTTTGAAAAGGAAAACAGTGCACGATGACCATGTGGACTGACTAATCCATACCTGCAAAAACAGTATCTGATGAATACTGTTCTCCTCACAGCTGCACCATGGTTTACTGAGAGTCTTTCTGAAGATTTTGGTAACTGTAATAGAGAATTGYCACTAATGAAGGCATAGACTACTTACACACAGAGGTATCTTTACCTTGCCTGTACTGGAATAACACAGGAAAAGAGCTACATTGAAGAATCTCCTGTGACGAGAGAGCTAGAGATTAAAGAAACCGACTCCATTTTCACGTTTTCATAGTTTTTTCTCTAGCTTTTTTTTTTTTTTTTTTTTTTTTTTTTTTTTT